CCCCCCCCCAATACCCCTATACCACCCCTCTCCCCCCCTATACCTCCCCACCCCAAACCCCCCATACCCACCCCAATCCCCAAAAGTTTCTCAACGAATTTGGGCTGTACTCAGCAAGCGCAGTACAGCCCCAAGCTGAGATTTGAAAAACAATTAGTGGATGGCTGCTCTCTGACTGGTCGGCAGACTGCCGACTGATCGGCTGCAAAACGGTCAACGGTCAGCAGCTATGCAACCCTGCTCTCTCTCTTTTAAATCCCCCCCCTCTTCTTCTTATAAAAAGGGTGACAGCCTTGAGATATCATCATTGACCTGACCGGCTCCGGGTAGTGCAGAATGATTTTATTCTGGTCATCTGATTGTCTGGATGCGAACTTGGATCTGTACTCCAACAGTTCATGAGTGTACCGACTGAGCCAGGCCCGTTGGTCAACTTGCCATCTCAAGCTCTTGTTGAATATAAAAAATCGAAAATGTCAGTGGTTGTCCCCGCTTCCGGGGAGGAGGGAGCTCGGCAGGCTAAGGGAGAGCGGAGGGGGAAGAAAAGAAAGCAAAGCAACAGCACCAATGCTGATCATCATACCACAATATAATGATTAGACTCTAATTTTGGGGGATTTTGGACCAATAATCAGATATATATTATAGAATCTTATCTTGGTCCAGTAACCACAAATCAAAGACGCTAATTGTTTGATCAAAGTGTGGAAGAAGAACCTTCTCCTCAACACAGCAGCCAACCAGCCTGTCCCTTGTGTGAGTAAGTGCAACTTGCATCCACACTGTCGAAAAAGAGAGTATCCATTCTTCATCTGAGGCAGCACCCCAAAAAAAAAGCTTTGCAGCGTGTTAGGAAAACAACCCATCTACACATCCCTACATTTACCGTTTCCGATATGCTGCATGTGAAAAGTGTTTCAGAAAGACATTGTAACAGTCATTCGGCCACTCCTCCCCGTCCCCCTTCATTCTGCTCTTTTTCTTTCCTTTCTTAAACCACCACTGCCACAGGAGCCTCAAAAAAATGCAACTTTGGGCCCACCGCCGGTCGGGTCGGGTGCATCCGGTCGGTGGCATTTTGCAAAATGTACAGTGTGCCAATTTTGGGGAACTTCCATGCCCGGAACTCTCGACAAGAAATCTGGAAAAAAAAAATCAGGGAGATAGACTGAGTGCTGATGTTTCCATGAAAAGTACTCGAAAATAAAAAGTTATAAAACCAAAATTTCGGCATCGCAAAGCAAAACCTTGTGGCAAAACAACGAACCAAAATCTGTCGGTGCTCTACCGGTAGCCCCAAATCGTTTTGGTTCGGCGGTGGGTGCTCTAGGCTACTTGGGCTGCCTGGCTGTGCAGATCGGGCCGCGCACCCGGGCAAGTCACTCGGGGCGTCTGACGCCCAGGGTACCCGGCAATGGGCATAACTGGGGTCTCTTTTTGTTTCCTTTCTGGCATGGGCTAGAGCACCCCCAAATCTTTTTGGTTCGGTGGTCAGTACTATAGGCTACTTGGGCTGCCTGGCTGAGCAGACTGGGCAGGGCACCCGGGCAAGTCACCCGGGGGGTCCGACACCCAGGGTACCCGCCATAGTTGCGGCGCACCTCGGTGCGCGGATTTGCGCACGAGTTGCGCACCACGCGCAGCGCACCGCACAGCGCACCAAAGCGCAGGGCACTTCAAAAATTAGGTCCAAAAAAAAAAAAGAAAAAAAAAAAGTAGGGGTTTCATAATTTCTTGGGGGCCCCAACTCGGCAAAAATGTTAAACTCACCACGCAAGCTCGCAAACCAGCCGCGCCCACGGCCCAAACTTTTCTTTTGGGTAAGGGCTGCCGAAATTTCAATTTCCGTAGGCCCTTCCCCCAAAAGTTTCAGAATAGCGAGGCACAAAATAGGGCTCATTCCAACTTTTGTTTTAGGCGGGGTATGAAAGCTGTCCTTCCCCCTGCCTTCTGCAAATCCCACACAGTAGTGGGGTAAGTTCGCAAGAAGGGGTAGTGCCTAATAACGACCTGCCCCCCGAAATTTCGCAGAATTCACATATTTCATGTTCCATCGCCAGCCGACCACCAATATATGCTGAAGATTGGCGTTCAGGTCCGCATGGCGGCAGCTAGGGGTCAGGATGAAGATGCCCGTGGCTGTCTCGTTTTTTTGTTTTTGTTTTCTTACGAATACTTCAAGTGGGGATGCACAAAAGACATAGCATATGGCGGTGTATGGTTCCATGTTTTCGCAGAAGATTCATTCTACTAATATTATATACATTTGGTGAGTGGTGGAGGGAGGCCCTGAGAATCACGTGCAGACACGAACAGGGTCTACCTGAATTGGTGACCCATAACTGCCGAGCTACAGCCCTGAACTCGAATCCACGGCATATATTGGTGGTCTGCCCACATTTCTCCCACACGTGACGAGGCCATCCTTCTCATTGAAGCTGTCCCTCAATGGCTCCACATGTATTGTAGGAGCCATTTGAGGTACCTGCAGGGGGCCTCGAATTGACGTGAAGGGGACCTTTTGCTCTCTCTCTCTCTCTCTCTCTCTCTCTCTCTCTCTCTCTCTCTCTCTCTCTCTCTCTCTCTCTCTCTCTCTTGGGGCCTTTCTTTTTTTTTTCTTTTTTTTTTTAATTATCGCGCACAGGGCGCAACTCCCTTAGCGCGCGCACCGTGCACAGCGGACCGCACTGGGTACTGCGCACAGCGCACAGCGCACGGCGCACAGTGCGCGCGCTGTCGTTCCAGCGCACAGCGCAGTGCGCACCGCCCCGCACCGCGCACTGGTGCGCCGCAACTATGGTACCCGCACATGGGAATAAGAGGGGGCTTTTTCTGCACATCCGGAGGAGCCCAAATCCAGGATCTTTCTTTGTTTGAGTGTCGGCTGCCAAGGCGGGGAAGGGGGCTATAAACTGGTTTTAAAGGGCTAAAAGGGGTTTAAAGGGGGTGCCTTAGTCTGATTCTGTTATTTCTTTTTCATCCTCGTTTCCGTGAGGAATTCTGACATGACCCTCGGCCAAAAGTCACTGTGATTCTTCACAACAGATTTTTTCCGGGAACTTCTTTTATTTTATTTTTTCTTCTGCGCTGGGACTGCCCAGGACCTTGCCGGGGGTCATGCCCGGCCAGGCACCCGGGCATGTGGCCTAGCTCAGTTGGTTGAGCACGTAAGTGGTGCACAGGCGGTCGGGGGTTCGATTCCCCACGACCCCCTGTGTGGCATACTTCGGGTTCACCGACTAAGAAAGGCCTGGCCGGTTGTGGAAGTTCCAATGTTTACTTTCCAGCCCACGCCAGGTGTTAGGCTTGGGTACTGCTTCCCGCGCAGAGCAGAGTTAGGTAGGTGTAGACCCATAACCTTAGGATAGCTTAGGCCTGCTTAGTGGATTTTAAGGCTGGAGTTGGCCTTCGCTCCAGTAGCTGATGACCCTAAGACCCAGGTACATAGTTCGGAGTAGGTAGTGTGAGATAAAAAAAGGAAAATAGCCTCAGGGGCAGCAATGGTGCCCATCAGGTTTTACTCAAGCACCAAGGGCCCCATGCATATAGAGTCCTCTAGCGTGAAAAGGCCAAGACACCCATACCCACCAGAGAAAGAAAGGCAGGAGCTGAAGGTTAAACCTTAAAAGAAAGTAAATGAAAACACAGAGCATTCTTGATGTCACCAAAAGGTTCTTGAGTAAAATGCAATCAGTTCACACAAAAAGTCAACTCTATTGACAGACTGATTGACCGCCAACATCACCGTAATGAGATGAAGAAGCAGACCCAACGACACGGAGCAAGTACATGACTAAGAACAATCACGAAAGGAAGCTCATCGGCACATATCAACCGCCACAGAAACTAATCAGATAAATTGTGATGTTTTTTTAACTTTTTTTCACTCCTCAGATGATGTTTCACTTCTCAGATTCCAGTTACTGACTGTCAATTTCACAAAATACCGAGCATCAGGCATGACAGCGATAAGACGAGATAACAGAGCGATGAGTACGGTACAACAACCGGGCGCTCAGCATAGGCGAAGCATGCAATGGACATCAATAATTGTACGCACATAGAGCTTGCCAGTCACCTACCTGGATAAATGGTGCAGGCACGCGCCGGTAATCGAAGTTCTTAGGCAGTCGATGCTCAGCCACCTGCTTCAAAATACTGACACAGCCTTGAATCACACCCTTATGTTCCTTGGGATCAGATATGGCCAGATCATATATTGCGCACAGTGACGCACTCATCACACTCGGATCCTTGTCACAAAGTGTCTGCCCCACAGTAAAGAGCACAAGAAGAAAAAAATCATGCACACCATCAAGCACAACACAGAGTCAGCTGCATAGACAGATTGCCAGGTCGGTTTCTACATTCAGTTCCAATTTTGCATCCTGGGATGTATCCAGCAATTTGCGAAATCAGAGAGATAGTTGATGGGAAAACAGACGTGACAATGTGAACGGTTATGGTTGCTGACGGCATTGCGACATTCGCTGAGACATCACATGCAAAGGGACAGCGATGATGTCCCTGGTTAAGTTCGATAACATGCCATCTCTTTCAAACAGAGCTCAGACAGATGGTCACACACTCATCCAAGCCCACAGCCCCTATAATAATCAGTATTTCACATAGGGGAAAATCCAGGCCTACTGTAGCGAGTACTCTGGGAAAAAGGAGGCCCTTGTCTGCAGTGGTGATATAAAATCAACAAGAAGTGTGGCTTGCTAGCAGGTTCATACTGAAGCCTCAGGTTTGTCTTTCCCTCACCCTGTAAGATCAGAATGATTGTAATATCAACCCTTCTGCATCACCGTAGTAGATAGTTTGCGCGCAATGACAGGGTCACATTCGTCAATCGGACTATACCGGAGGCCATTACAAAGCTACAGCCACCAAATCTTGTAACAAGCATCCTCGACTCATCGAGCTTCGACTATAACACATGGGTTACACAAGGGTGAAGATTCGGCAAACAAGGGGCCCCAAAACGGTCAGTCAGTGCCAAATGAAAAGAAGGACGAAAGTGCTCAGCAGAAGCAAGGGCCCTGGATAATTCGGAAACCCTAAGCGATACTCGATTGTAAAATGACCACCCAATGGATGCATGCAAAAAGGGTGTCTACACCGAAACATGACAATTTGGGCCTGTTACGCCAACGTGCCTGGGCCCATAGTGCAGTACCGACCCAGGTTGGAAATCAATACCGGCTGAGCATATGCATCAAGATTCCGAAGTCCTTTTCTCCCTTTGTAGCCAGACAACAAACTGGAGGCTAGCTACACCAGACTGCCACTAAGGACTTACTGGCCCTTCAGTTAATAATGCCCAGGGCAGAGGACAAGTGGCCACAGACGAGGAAAAAGAGAGGAAGGTCAGTATGCCCTCTGCGATAGAACGCAGACGGTCTACCAGCCCTCAATTGGGTCAAGGTGGGTCCCACACAGTTGTGCTACTGGATAAGTTCATGTTAACACACCGACGACCTCCCAACCCTCATAAAGATTCTTCTCAGGAGGGTTGGCAACTTGGCACACCTCCCGAAACAATTTTGCAAGGGCTGGTCGCCCCTCCAGTCCAACCCAAAAGAAGACTGGAGGGCCAGCAGGCCCTCCAATTTTGGTCACGTGGCATTTCTCTGCGTGGCCAACACAAATGAAGGTGGGCGGAGCCTTCTGATCTATCACAGCGGGCCTACAAGCTCTCCCTCGTCTTTCCCTGGCTGTGGTCACGATCAGTTTTGCGGCATGGCCATTAGAAACTGGAGGGTCAGCAGGCCCTTCCCAGCAGTCGGTGGACGGCCTGTTGCCCCTCCATCCCTTTTTTTTTGGAGGAGCGCGAGTTCAGGGAAAGGAGCCCCGACGAGCACATTTAGTAGTACTCCTTCCCCACCTGGATTGTAAGCAAACGACCATCCCAGGCTCTGCTATAAGATAACTACCTGGTGAGCCAACGAAAAGTAACACCCTCCAATTCATGGCCCCAAATGGCAAGGACTGCCAATTAGACCGCTACTGCCCCCGATGTCAACAGAGGCCTGTGGTGGTCCCACACGGCAAGGAATGTAAGCAGAGGACGCAGCGTATTCATGTGCATGAGGGGCCATCGCCGCCATGCTCACCAACACATGCGTGCATGGCCCAAGTAAACATGAACATGGTCACAAAACTTGGCCAGAGGTTCATGCTCACTTCACATCACAAACATCACCACCAGTGAGGCCTGACCGTAACTTGCCTTTGAGACTGCACCGTTGACAAAACGCTCGCACCTTCTTTTTCAGAAAAGTGCGTACTTTCTGCGGACAGCAAGTGCAAGACAAAACACAGATGTGGTTCCGGGGAGCGGGACTACTCGTTAGATTACGCTGATCAAGGCCAGAAACGGATAACTATTTCCATGGAATGGGATAATAAAACGGCCCCCGTAGGACTCCACAGTGCAAAAGATAAAGCAGCAAGAAACAAACAGACCTAAGAGACAGGGAAAAATAAAGAAAAGCAACAGAAAAACTACAAACTGCAACAAAGTGTCCTTCGGGACATCCCTTAAAATTGGAACGATACAGAGAAGATCAGCATGGCCCCTGCGCAAGGATGACACACATCAATCGAGAAATGGTCCAAATTTCCAAAGAACAAAAACAAACAAACAAAGAAAAGGAGCTTCAACAAAGTGAACAGTATACAGTTGTTATCCAGACAGTACAGACTCCTCTCCTCTTTTTCTTTTTTTTTTTGAAGTATCGTCACAAGTTCATTACAACTTGGATAGAATTATAAGCACAAAGGGTCACCCTCGATTTCCTGGAGCCACGAAACAAAAGATGATTTATAAATATGAGAAAACAAGCAGTTATATCCAATAATTCTCTACTCAGTGTCTAGACAATGCCTGTGTAAGTGCAATGGTGGAGTATCCCCTCTACAGTGCATGTGCTTCGGCTGTTGGGTTATACAACAAAAACTTACAAAATCCTGTGCATCATCCTACGTTACTTATTATTTATTACACCACATCATATAGGTATATTACCAGTCGTGTGTTGGGTTTAGGTACAGCAAAAAAAGAAACAGAAAAGGAAAAAGACAGAAAGGACAAACTATGCAGATTCAAGTTCATTCAATCATAGATATCAATCTCCTGCATTGAAATTATGAAAGGGAACAGGATTTCAACTTCCAGCTTTCAGCATGCACCCCTCATCCAGCAGGCAGATGCATCTGCCACGTCACAACAACGGATGCATGAAGACATGCTTACGAATCAAGGTGCAGAACACACGAAAAATGAAAAAGAAACCAAGAGGACAATTGCCAGGAGTGAGGGAGGAAGGATAAATGACAAAAGAAGAGAAGAAACGCCAAACAAAGAACGATACGCAAAACACTGCTGCTTACATCACCTGCAAACATCCAAAAAGGTCACTCCAACCACTCTTTCTCTCCTCTGTTTCCTCCTCCATTCACTGTCTACATTATTACCAGCATCGTGGGTTAACCCAAAACGAATCCACACGGCTTTCGAAGTCCGAACCCTTGGGCTTTTTGGGTGATTGAAACTGCTTTAGCACAGCACAAACGTGTTCATGACTACGACACTCAGAGATGTTTAGGGGCCAACTCCCGCTATAACTTCTACCATGAAACTGGCCCCAACTTTTCAAACAGGTTCATGTGAAGTTCGCAGACAATTCCAAATCATGATTTGTAGTCGGCTGTGCATAACCAGACTCCCAAGAGCCTGGCCATTTAGAGCCTGGCTATTTAAGAGCTTAGCCATGTGCACAGCCTGGCTATTCACTTCCCATGCTCGGAACCATGGTTCACACACTGTTTCTAGAATAGCACACAGTCCTCCATATGAAACATAGCTGACAGTACAAAAAAAAAGGAGGAAGTTTGTGATATGCCCCTATCAGTTGCAATTATTTGAATGTGACTCTCATTCGTTCAATATGTGTCACAGGCCCTTCTGATGCCCGTAACTTTCCAGCAGGTTCCTGCTGGACTGGCAGTCTGGCACACAATTTGCGCCCTCTCTGGGCGTCCAACACCTAGGCCTCCTACCACACAATCTGCTTTGCAAGGTAGCACTCCAGTGGCTAGCAAACTTTGGACCATACTCAGAGCTATTTATGCGGCAATTTGTGGCAGGCCCTTCTGATTGCTGCAACTTTTCCACAGGCTCCTGTTGGACAGGCACACAATTTGTGCCCTGTCTCTGGGCCTCCGACACCTAGGCCTCCAAAGTTTGCTTTGCAAGGTAGCACTCTACTGGCTAGCAAACTTTGGACCATACTCAGAGCCGTTCAGGTGGCAGTGATGCCCGCTCGAGTTCAAAGTTCAATCCCCCAGTCATCATGAAATTTGAGCAACATTGCTTGCTGTGCCGCCGATGCACCTAACATCTGTGTTGTCAGCAAACTTGCCTGGCAAGTGGCCTCCATGTCCCACTTCACAAACACACCCACCCTCTCATCCTCCTCACTCACCTCCTCATCTCTTTCCTCCTGCTCCTCCTCCACCTTGGAATCCGCATACTTCTCCTCCTCGGCATCCAACTACTCCTCCGCCTCCCCCTCCTCTTGATGTCCTTCTTCGCCAACATACCCACTGCTTATTCTTCTGTATGTGTGTTCGCTTCTCCTCGTACTGTGTCTACACATGAGAGGGTGCCTGCTGGGGTTAGAAAAGAAGAAACCGAGCAGGCGGGAAGTGGGGAGGGAGAGTGAGTTAGAGAGAAAGAAGTCGCTTGGCCCAGGTGCAGGGCAGTTGGTATAGCTCAGGGAAAATCATAAATATGCACCCCGTTACCTAATGGCCAGAAGTATTGGGGCATCCGACACAATGGAGATGGCAGTGACAGGGACACCGGGAAAAGATTTTTGGACCAGATTGCCCAGTGGATATTCGGCAACATTGAACCGCACACTGCTCAGAACTTATTACAAGGGCAGCACACAAATAACACCAAAAGAAACACTAGGATAGTGGGAGGGGGTACAAGGGTTTCCTTAATAAAAGGACAGTCGCAATGGTTAAAACACCAACAAGAGCCCCCCTCCTCCAAGAGTTGCGGCCGTAAACGAGCAGGTCCGGGGTTGGACTGGTAGTCAGCTGCCGGCCTTGATGGAAAGCCTCCACTAAGAAGATTCAGTCACAGTGCTCGGAGTGTCGCCCACCGCTGCTTTTCTTCCAGGTGGAAAGTCTCCACTAAGAAGATTCAGAACTTCCAGGGCCGGATTAGGTTCTAAAAAATAGGGGCCAC